GTGTAAGTGATAGGGGGTGGGGGATTAAATTGTGTATTACCCAGGAATTAGACATAGTTATAATCAATCCAATATTTCCTGGATAACTATCCAGTTAAGTTACTCGGAACTCTTTCAAGTCTCTGACTCTAACTCATATTTGCAGATATTTGCATAGAGTGCCAGGTAGATAGGGAACTGCCCATCCTAAGTTTAAACATTCCAGCTAATTTCCACTGAGTCAGTAATTCAGGAATTCTGACCAGTCCCAAAATATCTCTAACTAGCTAGAGACTAAAAGATCTAGGACATAATTTGAAAAAAAAAACTGAAAATATAAATAATGCAGCATTTGACAACCCTCTTGTTGGAAATTCAGCTGTAACTATGACTCTTTCCATTCTAATAGGATCATGGATATTGTAGTACTCAGCCAAATGACCATTCTCCCTGAAGAGCAATTTACATAGTATGTAGTGGTACTCCTGCATTGGCAGTTGACAATAAAAAATATCAGACATTACTTCAAAAATCCATTAAAATGCCAATGGGGATTTCTCTAAATACAAGAAGGTTGACATTTTATTTAATCTCGTGCAGTAATGGGCAATAGTTTACTGACAATAAATTGCATTGCCCCAGATAACGTTATACAGAAAGATTCAAATTTGGTGGCTTTGATGAAACACATTATGGACTGTCAGGATTCTAACAGTATTTATAAGTAACCTTGCTCAAGAGAGCTGACAGCTTAGGATGCTCGCCTTAGATAGCTGGGTGTATCAGCAATTGCACTCCAGAAAATCTTATACAAAAGCATCTTTGCTGCACTCTAATGCCATCAACATGAAACATGTTGATCACTATCAGCTCCAATGCCTAGAATGTTTTGTGTACAGGGTTTCTATTCATTTCTCACTTTCTCTCATGCCAGGCCAAAACCTATAAGCACTGCGATGTGCTCATACCTAATCTAGGTGACAATGCACATGTAAACCAGGACTTGAGACTTATCAAATTGCTCAAATGGGAGCACTGACAGTCAACTGCATGCTGTCCAAAGGGAGAAAAAATGAATATATCAATTGGGATGTCTCGCATTAAATTAATTTTAGTGCCCACCAACTTCTGCAGAAACTGCTGCAGTTGTGATCTGTTTAAAACAAATATTAAGTTTACTTTCTGATCCGCAAAACTTCATTATCACATATAGTGCATTAATCAACTCAGTTATTAGAAATTTGTCTTAATAGCTGGTAGATTGAAGCACTGATACAAAAATTACCCATTCTTTCTAATTGATATCATGTACAATGGATTTATGTTGCATAGTATTCCTCCTCTTTAACTCTAGACTTTCCTTGCTGGGCTGCTCCACCTCTCAAGTTCCAACTTTCACTTTGTCATCTCTCCCAACATTTTGTTCTTTGACTTGGTGTATTTTTGTTTTACTTCTCTGTGAAGTGCTAGATGCATTTTCTATACATGTGGCATTCAAAAGGGAACTGGAGAGTTATGAAGGGGAAAAGAAATCAAGGTTTCAGTGAAGAGTAGGATTTCAGAGTAGCTCTTACAAAGGCAGAATAGATAAGTTAGAACCTCCGCTGTGGTAATCCTTTTTGAGAATGGCCTCTTAGCTAAATATGCATTATGTGGAGTGAAATGAGAAAATAACTTAAAAAAGGATACTTGGAGGATTGTTGCATCTATTGGAGGCAAGTAACCTGACAATCACTACAAGCACTTCTTATGTAGCTGCTTATTCAAGCAATGGTTAAAGTGTCATAGATGAATTGGAGCCAAGGAGTTATGTACAGATGGAACTTGGTTGGTACAAATTGCTGATTGGTCTGTGGACTAGCAACCAGTTATCAATGACAAAGCCCTGCTGCCTCTCAACAACTGTGGTTGGCTGCCAGATAGCTGAACAGCTTGGGGCTGTCAGCAAAATAATGAGAAGTCTTCATACCTCCATTGGCTCAGGAGCTCCCTCTGTTCTCTGCAGTAAAAACCATCTTACGACTGAAAGAAACCAATTTATTTTCCTCCAGCAGTTACCGTAAACTGTGACTTTTAAGTAATAAGTCAAAGACCTTTTGAGAAATGAATGAACTACCCTTTGCCTTTTGTAAACCAGAGGAAGCAACCAGAAAAGGAAGACTGAGATGCAGAATTCTGATCAGCAGATCATGTGAATGGAGGCCATTCCATTGCTTTCCCACCTTCCAGAAAATCATTTTTCTTTCAAAGATCTCTTTTTATTAAAAAAGCATTTTGTTTTATTAACCTATATTTCCTAATAACATGTTGAGAGATGTTATTACACACCTTTGGAGTAGGAGGGACTTGAACCCAGGCCTCCTGATATAGGAGTAGAGACACTACCACTGCACCACAAGTGAGACCCTAAGGCACCACTTGGATATGAATTCAGATCCTCTTGTTAACCAGGCAGGCGCTTTCCCTAACTAAACCATGGCGCTGCCCATTTATGTTTTCTTATGTGTGTGTGTGTGTGTGTGTGTGTGTGTGTGTAAAAGGAGGGGATTAGAGGTTAATTGGAGATGAACTAGTTGTTATATGCCAATGCTTCATAATTTTTTACATGTAGCTACAGATGACATACTTGTAATAAATAGTGATTCTTGTTAAGTACAAAAACCTAGCCTTTGCCTTTTTTTAAATCAATCTGGTTCTAAAAGCCAGGAAAATTGAGGAATTCTGTATACTTTTAAAAATCTTTAATTTTTGGAATGACTCTGGTGTACACTGTGTTACCCCAGTGAGGCATGACAGGACAAGTGTAAACTCTTACAGCAGAACTGGATGCCCTCATTATGATTGCTTAGTGTAACAGTTAATGGAACGTAATGTTCAAAATGAACCTGTGTTGATTGTGAACTTCCCCAGATGCTTGTCTTCAACTTAAGCCTGGAGGTTATATTTAAGGTGATAAGTGCTCATTTCTCAAAGCAAAAATAAGTAAATTTTGCTTAATTACATAATCTTGACATGCGTATTGCCTTTAATTTGTTAATATTTAATGACAAGTCATGCAACCCTTTAAAATATTAATGTACCACAAGGTCACAAGTGAGTATCCACTACTGAGTACAGTAGTATTCCGACAAGAAGAGTCTGTCACTATGAATGAGAGTATTCCAGAATTTTTATTAGTATCAACAACTATAAGGCTGCTACAGCTGTTTTAATTACACATATTGTTTAAAACTTTACATTAAACTGTCAAGATGTGCATCACTACCCTAACAGTGCAATACGTGTGCATGGAAGTTGGAAACCTTGAGATAACAAGGTGTAGAGCTGGATGAACACAGCAGGCCAAGCAGCATCAAAGG